CATGGTACTCCAGCCCAGGAAAGCGGGCCTGGTCGTCCAGGCCCAGGCCCGTAGGCATGGTCCTCATCCCCACAAGCTGCTCCAAACGTGATCTAATCTTCAGGGCTGACTGATTTGCATGTGTCTCACACTTTCAAAATATGACAGCTCCAACACAGCGGGTGATGGGAGAGAAAAAAGGCTCAAGGTGTACGTTGTATATCAACTTCCTCCGTTTATTTGATTGCATTTGTTTTGCTATTAAAACTAAAGGCATTCATGTGTGTCTTATCAAAAATAAAAAATAAGAGGCATCTATATGAGTGGAAGATTGACTTAGTGTGGAGAAACTAAAATATTCCTTTTTTTCTTCTAATTTTTTAATTAATGATTTTTAGCAAAAATATGAAACATCGATATTATTGGTGTTTTTCATGCAACATATCGAAAATAAAAAAAATATATATATATATACCATCTTTTTATATTTTAAAGTTAATATATATTTCAAGTTATATTATTTTTAATTTTTAAAATTTATTCTTTCAATTGGTCATTTTTATGAAATTTTTTATCTAATTAATACTTTTATATATAAAATTCTATTTAATGATAAATGTGATTAATTTTTTGCTAGATTTTAATTTTATAATAAAATTTTAAAACATAGTTGTTTTTTCTTTTTTTAAAATAAATTGATATAATATATATTGCGAACTCTTATATATATATGTTTGTGTGTGTGTGTGTGTGTTAAAAAAATATTTCGGATAATTTGTTTTAATCGCTAAGTATGATCAAGACATATAAAAATAATATTAAATTATCGATTTTATTTAAAATTAATTATACACTTTCACACATAGCACCACTTATTTGATATGAATATTTTCTTATAACATTATAAAACCAATTTCTTTGAAATAAAATAATTAAAATAATTTTTTAAAGGAACCAACTAATTATTCAAATACAGCTTTTTTTTTACTAACATTATTGATTATTTTATAAATAAAAATATATAAGATCACATGTATGTACTTTCAAAAATTAATCTTCTCATTAGTATTAAATAAAAATAATTTTTTATTAGTTAATTTTATATAAGTCTATATATTAATTGTTATTTTATTTTTTTGATACATTGTAATGAAAACTATCTATTTAAAGTATTTTTTTAATTCTTGATTAATATTTTATTTTAAATTATTAAAATTTTTTATTTAATAATCAATACATAACAAATAGTAAATTACTTTTTTTAAGTAGAAAATTTATGAAAAAAATAAAAAAATTAATTAAATAAAAAATCAATAACAAAATTTAAAATAATTTTATTTTGTTTGATCCATGACATAATGCGGGTAAATAGCTAGTTTTGAGACTAAAAACATTATCCTTATTGTAACTACTTACTTTAAAGGTTGATCACCTTGAATTAAAGCCTTTTAAAGCTCGGTGCTATTGCAAATCGAGTTTTCTTTTTTCTTTTTTATGGAATTTTGATGAAAATCACAAGAAAATAATTATCGATCATGAATATTACAGCAATACTTTGCTTAAAACTTGATTAAAAAGTAACTTGCATTATATTTTTAAGAGAGGAAAGAAAATAAGAATTTCAAGAAATTTTTACTTGTTTGGAAGGAGGGGAGGAAATGAGGCGGAAGGAAAATGCAAAGAAATTTTCTATGGAGATCCACATTTACTAATCTCTTCAATTTACAGAGAAAGTGAGTTGGAAACTTGCAAGTTCTAATTTTATCATCAATAAAAACCTATTTGATAGATTAAACTTATGGCACATGATATTAATTTTATTCTTCAAAATTTTCTCCATATTTTTTATTGTTTCTACATTCTCTGTGCTACCTTTCCTTTATTTTCAACTCATCTCTAAACAAAAAGAGAGGAAATGGCTTTCCTTTTATCTCATTTCGTTTTTCTTATTCTCCTTCTTCCTGCTTTCTTTCTTCTCCCATTTTGTTTCCAAATTAAGAAAGCTAATATTAGTCTTGATGCACAAAAAAACCCAAAACTAATTCAAAGATATCCTAGCTGTAAAAAAACAAACAAAGACAACAGTTTTTTTTTTTTTTGAAATTAAAAAAAAGATCCAAAATTTTATAAATTAAAAAAGGGAGGGAACAGGATTATAGTGCAAAATAAATAGCCAAAAAGAGAACAAGAAGAAGAAGAGTAGAAAAATTTAAGCCGCGATAAATTGATCGAGTTTGGAAAGTCAACTTTTCCATACGTAGCTGCAGCAAAGCATTATAAGGGTGTATATTCTCCTTAAAATCCTTTATCTTGATAAGTATGAGCATCATACTACCAGACCCAATTTTCAGGACTCTACCGGACCTTATCGGGTTATTATTATATCATCTAATCACAATATATTAATAATCTAAGTGATCGTTAGCATTAAAAAGAAAAAAATTAACAAACATCAGACAAAATAAATACAAGACAAGCCATCCTCCAAAATAATATATATATATATATATATATATATATATATATATATATATATATATGACAGCTAGACAGGCGCATAAAAGACCGAAAATACCTCTTGATCAATACAAGGATATATACAAAGGATTTGGCAATTATATATGAAGACGTTTTCATATATATTTTATATATGTTTAACGTTATGGGTGGGTAGTAAGATTAGAATGAGGAAAATATTAGTCTTCTTCAAAGCAAGACGCCAGCTTTCTCTATTGATGATTCAAGGACTGAATTTCTTTCGGTAATCAACCACTGCAGATGTCCGAAGTTTCCAAGCTTAATTTTTTCCCTTTCCCCTTTTGGGTGCAACGAGTTCAAGAACTTGTACGTTCTTCATAAATTTACTCTTTAGTTTTTTTTTTTTTTTTTTTTTTTTCACAGGAAGCTTGAGTTCCTGAAGCATTTGGTTCCATGACGGAGCATCCTGTCTCTCTTGGTAAATTCATTTCATCCCATACGTGCTTCTTGAAGCTTGAACCCAAGACCTTCAAGTAGACTGAACATAGAGATAAATTTCAACTACTAGGTTGTCCCCTTGAATTAAGAGTAGTTAAACTTCTTTAATTTAAAAGGTAGTATGTTTCTGATACATTAATTTGATCAGTAATTTCCTTGAAGAGTAGAGAAATGGAACGATTTTCTAAAGATGCTAATTCGTAATTCACTTAGGGTTAGATTTTTCTTCGGTGGTATATCGAATTTTAGACAATCGCCACTTATATCAGCATTCGGTACAGTCGCATAATAAGCATGCATATATATATATATATATATATATATATATATATTGTTACATAAAATAGGCTTCAACTTGGAAACTTTTGGAAGAAGAGGATATAATTAGTAGCAAGTGAGCTAAAAGCACGTTGGCTAATTGGTATATATATATATAATTTACTAATTAATAATTGGATAGCATGATTCCCGATTTCAGTATATGCCGCCCAACGCTTAAACATGCAAGCCAGTATTTATTTATTTATTTATATTTTTATTGATTTGGTGCAACCTCCAAGCAAGACTGATAAGACTACAGACTACAAACCTGAGTTGGCAAACACCGATTTTGCCATCTCAAATCCACGATATAAATCTATAATTATAAGATAAGCTATATATTTGTCAATAGATTCATGAATGAGATACTTCAACCCTCATAGTTTAAAATTTCCTAATTTTATCCATTTCCTCCTTACTATTAAAACACTAACAAAGCTGCCTTTTCTCGCATTTTTATTTTAGTTTTTCTTATTCTTTTCCTCTCAAACCCACATATATGTTATAATATGTGACAAAAAACTCTTAAAAACACCTAAAATAACTCAAAAATCAAATTAAAATACAAACTATTTAATAGTTAGAACCAGGGGTGAATATTAGTCGATTAAAATTGATTAATCGAATCAAATTAAAATCAAAATACCAATTCAATTTATTTTTTAATTAAATTTGGTTTAAAAAATCAAAATAAAAAACAAGGTAATTTCAATTCAAAAAACCATTTTTTTTAGAACATGTTTGAACTTTTGATTGTTATTTGAATTTTGATAGTTCAGTTTATAATATATTCGAATAATTAATATTTTTTATTATTATATATTTTAGATATATATTACTTGGCTTATATTTAAAATTTAAAGTTTTATTACGTGATATGGTTTTGCACTTTAGTTTTATTTTAAAATATATTTATTATTTTTCATATAGGCTAATTTAAATCACTTGAGTTAGATGAAGGATTTCATAATCCATAACATAATTTTTTTAGTTTATTTATATTATTGAAAAAAATAAAAATTCAGAGAAAAAAATTCAATTTTTACCAAAAAAATGAAAACTAAAAACTAAAATTTTGATTTCATAAACAAAAAAACTAAATAAAAATTTGATACAGGTTCGATTTTTCTTACAGTGAGTTTGTTTAATTGAAAACCAAAACTAAAAAACCAAATGCTCACCCCTAATTAGAAGTAAAACAGGAACTTTTTGGAAACTACAACGATAAAACTGGAAAATTTTAAACCTTAGGAGTAGAAATAGAACAATAATGAATCTGTAGGAGCAAAATTAAAGTTTATCCATAATTATACTTTTTTCATAAACATGAAGAGACTAATGTAACCCTTTGATCTATCCAAAGTGGAGAAGTCTCCACATCAGCATCTAATCAAGTTTGACTTAACCAAAGATAACGCTAACGCCTAAAATAAATCTTAATAATAGGGGAAACAGTAAAACAAACAGGCGTCAATACGAATACGCGGCGCCTCGCTGCCTCCTCTGCTTCTCCTATAAATGATTCTATCTCAAGAATCATCTACTCTTAAAACAGGAAAAAAAAATCATCATATTCATAAAAATAGCAAGAAATCAGAACTGTAATCTCCTCTGATACTCTACAATTTCACGTATAGAAATTTGCATTAATTGAGGATAAAATCTTCTTCTCTAATTTTCAGTACTCTCCCTCCACTCTGAAGCGCTTATATATATAATACACCATGTCGAAGAGTGAACTGGCCCATTCAGATCTTTCAATGATCCTTCCAAGAGTTCTCATCGTCTCCCGTCGAACCGTTCGCAAGAACAAGTTCGTAGATTTTGTTGGTTCGTTTCCTTTTCTCTACAACCCTTCTGTTTTTGTTATCATTGCATCACGAATCAAACTCACTTTCTAGCTAGAAATTGAATATTATTTTTTGCATAAACGATTTGAGTATTCAAATAAAAATCACATGACCGAGATATGTGTTTATGTTAATAATTCAAGTGGAATTCAGGATCCCACAGAATTATGCAACAGTATACATATAACTGATCAACGACCCCGACTACTTTCGGGCGTACATTTGAAGAGAAAATTTACTTGATTTCACCGTTGAACCAATTCATTGATTAGACTAAGATGGTGATTCAGATCAAAATTTATTTCAGCTCTCCATTTTTTTAATTTTTTTTTTCGTTTATGAATATTCCTTTTGTTCATCAATCCAAAACGGTTGCGAATCAGGAAAAAAAGAAGATAAGTTGTGGATATGATCTGTTTTTATTAATCTAGGAAGTTCTTTTGCTAGTTATAATTTATTCAGATATTATATATAACATAACCTGTTTTTCAGCTTTCATTTCTGAAACATGATCGCTGTTTTTTGTTCAATAAACAGGAGAATATCATCTAGATTTAATTGTGAGTTATGGGGCGGTGCCAGTTATAGTCCCAAGAGTAAGTGGAGTCCACATGCTATTGAAGAGCTTTGAGCCTATTCATGGTGTGTTGCTGTGCGAAGGTGAAGATATCGATCCATCTCATTACGATGCAGAACTATCTGGTTTTTCACCAGAAGAACTTGAAGAGATTAGGAAAGTGCATGCAAGCGATACTGACATTGACAGGGAGAAAGATACAATTGAATTAAGGCTTGCAAAGCTTTGCCTTGAAAGAAACATACCATACTTAGGAATATGCAGAGGATCCCAAGTCCTTAATGTTGCTTGCGGAGGTACTCTTTATCAGGATGTTGAGAAAGAGCTGTCAAAAAAAATTCCAGAAGAACAAAGAGTGGTGCATATGGACTATGAGAATTATGACGGGCACAGGCACGCAGTAAAGGTATTGGAAAACACTCCTTTACATCGGTGGTTTAAAGATTCTTTGGAGGAGGAGAAAATGGAAATTATGGTTAATAGCTATCATCACCAAGGTGTTAGGAAATTAGCTCAACGATTTGTTCCAATGGCTTTTGCACCTGATGGGTTGATCGAAGGGTTTTATGATCCTGATGCTTACAATCCTGAAGAGGGAAAGTTCATCATGGGTCTTCAATTTCATCCTGAGCGGATGAGGAATCAAGATTCAGATGATTTTGACTACCCTGGATGCCCAGCTGCATATAAGGTAAACCAAAGCCTTAATAGTAGTAGCAACTAGAATTCAAGTTTTCCTTTGAAAATATCGATATGACAGAAGAATACATTGATTCTCTGCAGGAATTTGCCAAGGCAGTTATTGCTTACGAGAAGAAGCTTAATCGATCAGAATGCGAAGCTCCAAAACTTAATCAAGAATTGGAGACAAAAAGAAGAATCCTGGTCAGAAGTTTCTCGATTGCAAGAAACATGTACAGCTCAGGAGGTGGAAGGGTTACTGGTCAAGAATCAGAACTGAAAGTTGGAGCAGAATTTCTAGAGGTTAGCATATATGTATATGTGTGTGTGAAATGGATCATCCCAGCTAGGATTTTTATTTTATTTGGACATTCCCTTATAGTGCATTTTTCATGTAACCTGCAGGCAAATACTGCGCTAAGTTTGCAGCAAGAGAAGAGGCTGAAGCAAATGGGTGCAACAGTGAGAAATGCCTCTGTATACAAAGAGAAGTTGAAGATGAATGAGGAGAGGGAGAGACTTGCAAGGGCTATAATGGTTAAGATGTCGATCAGCCAGTTATCTGATCTGATGTCCTTCTATCATATGATGGGAAAATTATGTTCAGAGGCCTTGGAGAGAAAGCTTGAAGACCGAGTGGATGAAGAACCTGATTTCTAGATAATAGACTCTGCTTTGTAAAACTGATCTCTTTTGAGTTGTTTCTTCCCTTCTTCAATAAACCCTTGATTTTTCTCCCTTCTTTTTTCCACTTTCTGGTAGCAAAGGAAATTAATAATCGCATCATTTTTCGCTAGCATGACATAGGAAAAAAAAAAAAAGTGCATACTTTTGATAGAATTTTAGAAAAATATTAGAATGACAAGATGCAATGTGGATTTAAAATAATCCAATCTAACCCTATCCTCCAGTATTCTGATAGCGATTACTTTGTTACCTGTCATTTGGAGCTTCGTTTTTGACCAAGTTGCATCCAACCCACGATCGTTAGTAGAACGTTATGAAATAATTGAATTTATGGTATGATACAATCAGACTTACCAAAATAGCCATTTTGTTTATAGATCATTTAGTATCATTAGCAGTTTTCATTTTCTGTTTTTGTTTTGAATATTTTTGTTGAATAAAAGCAAACCAATAACCACTGTCCTAGTTTTTTTAAAACCACTTTATTTAGTTTTGAAAAAATATGACAATCAGTTGTTGATTTTTTACCTTTTTGAAAAGAAAAAATAAAAAAGAAAACGATATTAAACTATCCCATTCTAATGAGGCCTCAATTCCGATATTTAGACTCTTTACTTTTTGGAATGCAAATCATATGATAGGAATGATAAATGGTGAGTCATTAGAATGCCACACATTTGGTAGGAATTATACAAACTTATGTCACAATTCCGATAGAAAAAAGTGAGCGATTAGAATGATGCCAAACCTATGGTTGGAGACTAGGAACAATACAAAAAACTATAATCCTGCTTTTCAAATAGGCAAATAAAAAATGACATCCATATGAAAAATGTAATCCATATGATGAACCTCTACAATATCTTCCTCGATAATTTTTTCATTGCCTCTGTTATGTTTCCGTTTCCTCAATAATTTCTTTGTCAATCTGCTTTTCCTAATTTACATTTTTTCAAAACTGCAATTTTCAACAAAAGATATGAGTCCTAATGACTACAGTTTCTGCCATAATTACAGTGTAATACCCGACAAAATTCGTATTGAAAAACCAATTATATTATGGACAAATGTATGGAGGCCCGCCGGGTCTTCCGAATATATAACTAAAGAATTTCCAATAAAAATAGTTGCAAGATTCTGCAATATTATTTCAATTTTCAATCAGTATTGCCAGGCTATTTAAAACTTTCTAAGGTGTCAACCAACAGATCGCCTAATTTGTTTTTACAGCGATTATGACAGCTTCCACTTCTTGCAAGAAAGAATTTGAAAACGTTAAATGCTTTTTTTACGAGTAGCATGACTAAGTAAAATAAATATATTAGAAAATATTAATATCAACATAATTTATAAAAATTAAAGATTCTGAATCTCTTCATTGAAAACGCATAAAAAATTGAAGGACGCAGGCTCTTCTTTTCACTGCAATCACAACTTCTAAAATAAGTTGAAATACGGGGTTTTAAATTATCAAATAAACATTGATCTAACGCCAGGACATTGGAAAAACGATGACCCATCCATTATCCCTCATAACTTCCATAGACCCCTACGAATGGATTGAAAAAGAAAATAAAAAATCCATGCAAAGTTCCTAACTTTCCTGGTCTCTCTGACTTTGATCTCTCATGTATTATACACACATAAAATTAAAATAATAATAATAATAATAACAATAATAAAACAGGGGGAGAGAGAGAGAGAGAGAAACAAGAATAAGGCAGGCCGAATTCCAACCAAAACGGTAAAGAAAGGAACAAGCCTGCTTAGCCCTTCATTGGTTTTGTCACAACCAGAGTTGTTACTCGAGTTGAATATGGACTTCTAAACATTGGAAACGCAAGGTACAGGATGATTATAGACTAGCAAAATTCAAAGATAACAGCCGTATTATACAATCTGTTAGCACCATCTGGCTGGAATCAGAGGCACAAAAACCAGGGTCATGTCACAACAGTTGGTGTTAAAATGGCAGGCCGAACGGGCTATACACCAGCATACATGTGATTGAAAAAAAAAAAAAAATCTGACACCATCATTCACCTAATCATAATTTTGTAGATAACAAAACCATTTTAACACCTTACTCCTCGTTGACATCACAGCAGTTAGTGTAAAAATACAGATTTGGGGTAGGCTCAAACTTGAAAACACAACCTATCAAAATCCCCTTCCAGATACCAAAATAAGAAATTATATCCTAAACACGGATAATCAGGACATAAAAAGGTGCCTGGTTTATCATCACATACCCGTTATATAAAACATTGAAAACAAGCAAGACGAAACTTGGTTACACTGGCAGCAAGCCAAACCACCTCTTTACCTTGGTTCAGCAGCATATCCTAACTAGGTTTTTTCTATTCACTTTGCTTGAGCCTTATTGCACTTGCACTCCATCCATTCTAAAGCATTCTCAACTTTTTTTTTTTCTCTTTTTCCCTGTTCCATAAATTATTAAAAATAACTGGAAACCAACTACATATGACACCCAAATCAACTTATCATCTTCGTCGTCGTAAATTAACTCACACAAAAGGTATATGCATGTACCAGTGTATCTCTGGGCTTCACTTCTAGAATAGCTGGAGTGGTGTGATAACAGTCATAGCTTTGTATCACCTGCGACAGAAAAACAGGAAGTCTGGATGATTGACCTGAAGCAGTCTCAACCATTTGTCAGCAGCCTGCAATAGGGAGTTCGCCAACTGCCGGTCACATCCACCATTAGAGGTCCACAAGGACCCCTTGAACTTGTAGGAAGCAAGACCAAAAACAGGCAAGGACATCTTGGGCACACCGTCCGCTTCATTGGGATACATCATTACAGGGGCCTGTGCACTTTGCCCACCTGCCAAGAAAGTTGGCATGATGAATCTCTAAAAGCAACTGAGGACAAACTTTATTTGATAGAGACATGTTAAGCAGTTAGATTCGTCATCCTGAAAATTAATCAGGTCCAGGACAGTTACAATGAGAAAACAAGGGTTGCTACTATGACTGCATCGCCAAATGCCAATGCCCACAACACCGTTGGATTTGACTTTAATAACATCAATTAACTATTTCATTCAAATCCGCTGGTCTAACAGGCATCCGCATTATTCCAATGCAGGTATTCTAGACTTCCCTTGAAGAAAAAAAAATTTAAAAAGGTCCAACTATTAAGTATTTGGGTAACGACGCTATTGCTAAAAAGGATGTATTGCAGGCAGCAGAACCAAATTATAATTTGCAGAAAGGAAGTGCATACTTAGAAAAGGCAAAAGAAATGCAAAGAACAAAGTTCCATGCTTTTAATTCATTCTCTCTTGTACTCTTACTCCTCCATCCACAGTAATGGTCCCCCTTTCTTTTTTGTGACTCAAAATTTGTCGCCACCTCAAAGATAGCTAGAAATGTTACTGTTAAATTTCCTAAAATACCCTGTATTCTCACATTAACCACAAGTAACCTTTTAATACCAGAAACCAATCCAAGGAGGTAAAGCCAAAATCTGTTATAAATCCAACAGAAATCAAAGCATTTCATGCAAGCTATTTAAAAGTTAGCTTTTCTGACAGAAATGCTTGGGTTGATAAGTTTACAATATATATATATATATATATAGACACACACACACACACATAAAGAAAACCGATATCTTGACAATTGTGGGAATGGAACCCACAAGTTTACAATATAGTGAAAACAGTCTTAATTTGGAAATGTCCCTACACTAAATAAGAAGCCCATACATATGATCGTACTGAAAATATTGACAGGGAAAATAAGAAACTAAGACACAAAAAAATAGCATCGTAAAAATATTGAAAATAAACATAGTACCACATGGAAAATCAGCAGCCAAATATATTCATTACCTCCCAATGAGGTATGAAGAGAATGGTATGTCAGGAAGCAAGCATCCAGATCTTTTAAAGTTGGTCCCATAGGTATTCTATAAATTGGGTACCTACAGAAGTCCATAAGAAACTATAAGCCATGTGTTAACATAATATTCAAATCAAATGGAATATTAAAATGATGAATACCAGGCCACAGAAATCCAACTTGAAGGTAATAAATCACAACTTCTTAGCATCTTTAGCTCAGGGAAACGGAAGGCAAGATCCAATATCTGTGGCAGCAAAAAGAGTTTAGGATAAGGTCAACAAAGAGAGCCTAAAAATGCAACCACACTAATCAAAATAAGCACAGATTTCTGTCTATGAAAAAGGTCAACTCATAACCTTATCAGCTAATGGCTCCCGGCTGTAAGGAGCATCTCGTTCAAGATACTCAAATAGCAAGCAACCTTGACAATTCATAGATTCACCCTCGTCACTGGAGAAGTCCTCTTGATGGGCAATATGTTGATCTCTCAACGATAATCTATCCATTCTAAGAGGAAAGTCATTTGTTAAATGATGATGATTCCACTGTTCCCTTGAGCATTTCAGTCCTCTTTCATGCTCATAATCACTGCTTCCATCACTACTTGAATCCCTAAAATCACTATCACTATCCTCACCCAATCGCCTGTCACAAGAACAGCCTTCAGTTCCATAATACAATCAACCAATCCAAAAACAAGTAAACAGCTAAAAAAAATGGAGGAGAACAAGATAATCTAAACTGTATTATGTTCAGTAATGCAGAGTCCATTGCTGGTCAGCCCCAGTACGCCACATCAAATTAGCTTAGTTGAGCACTAACTATTTGTGCTTAGAATAACACCAGGACACGAGCATGATACACCTTCCAAAACAGTGTGAGCATAGCACAATTATTGAAAGATGAGGCATCAAGAAATTTTGAAATGCATCATCAGGAATTCGGTTGTTATGATTATCAGGATAGAAAAAAATTAATGAAAGGATTTTAATCAGTTGAGATCCGAGCTAATATTGAGTTGGGCCTGGGTTCAATTCTATTGAGTGTAAATATATTTAGTAGTACTAATTTAATGCATATAAAAATCATCTTTGAAGACAGAAGTCTCATTTTGTCATTCAGCAGCTGCATATGACCATGAATACCAACCACACAAAAGAAGCATAGGTTTTGCAATAACGTTAACAAAGTTAACTCCATGCTTGCTTTTAAAAGAGTCTTGATACAAATCTTTGACATTTATTGCAAAAAAGCACAACTCATTATTTGCCCGTTAGCAATCACGCTTGTAATTGAACTTGAAGAGAAGCTGGCTCAAAATCAACAAAAAACAGAATATTCTTTTTAATTTTGAATCAGTAAACTACACACTAGAATCAACACTATACGAGTACATACAAGCTCAAAGGTAAAGAGTAATCGTAGACCACGCTTATATTAAATATACAAGCTATGAAAAACTAAACGGGCAGTATGGATTATGGAACATGCAGATGCAAACCAGAAATAATCAGAGTACAGGTTTCGCACAGGAAGGACAGAAAACAAACAACCAACTATAACGAGGCAAACGATCCCAATCCACATGAACAATTTCGTAATAAAGTGCAAATACCAAGTAACAACATTTAAACGTGTCAACATTAGAAAAAAACACCCCCAACCACCTTGACATGTTTTAACAAATTAGCAAAACAGAAACCAAAAAACGCTAATAAATAGCCAGTTTATTTTACCTCGACTTGGGAGGCATCTTCGTAGAATCGGCATATATTTGAATACCAGAAAGATAAGGAACATAATATTGCACAACACAGTCACTATCATTCAAAATTAATGGCACTCCTGCACCATAAGCACTCCATTCTTTAAAAGATTCCCACAAATCACCCAGCACAAAATACGGCTCAAATTCCACATCACACGTCCTCCATCCCCGCATTGTCGTCTGCAACCAAATTCATTTCATTTCATTTCAATAAATTAATAATAACTTTTTTAAAAAAAGAAAAAATATAATTTTCAAATATCACAAAAACCTTAGAGAGATACTGAGCAGGAACACAAGGCGTGATCGACTGCAAAAACCGATTCAAATTACTCTCAAACGCCGGAACAGTAACTTTTACCGGTTTAGTCAAATCATCTGACCCACATGTCCGGTTCTCAACCGGTTTATCATCGGAAACATCGCTTTGTGCTCTACGGAGTTGATCGGTCCGGTGAGTTCTACGCGCTCTCACAGCATTATATAACCGATCCTCTCCTCGTTCCCGAGTTAACTGCAATCCCGTCCCCAACATTTCTACTTAAAACCAAAAAACTTCACCTAAAATCTAACTACTAACCACTCTATGTACGGAATAACCTTGTGAAGGACTACGATTGAAATAAGTTCAAAATATGCAGGTATTGAGCGATTATTGTGTGAGTTTAAGCAAAATTTGATCAGAGAGGAAGAAAAAAGATAGACATGTAAAGAGAATGGTAATGTTAAAACCCTAAAAATGGAAATTGTGAGACTTGATGATGGATCTGAAGGAGGTGAGAGGGGTAGAGAGGAAAATATAATTGAGGAAAAAAATATAGAACCGATGAGAGAGGAGGAAAAGGTGAGAGAGAGGGAGAAACCAGAGGAAAGAGTTTGTTGCTTTGTTTTAAATTGTTTTATACTTTCTTACAATTTTTATTTTTAAGATAGTCCGAAGGAGTCCATATTTGACAAGAAGGAATACCATTATTGGTGAAAGGACAAATTTGGCCCAGCCTATTTATCTGACAGTGAGTCATAAATGGGATTTGATCTTGTGGGGTTTTTAGGCAAGAAATCGGTAGTGAGATTATATAATTAGAAAGTTATTACCCAAGTTAATTAGGGAAGATCTAAGGACTTCACTAAACTGGGGGGTTTGATTGGGAGGGACTAAGGAAGTGTTTACACGTGTAGATAGGGAGATAGAAAGACACGTGTATGGTGGATTTTGGAGAGAAAATGGAATGCTGTCTTTTTCTTATCCCATGCGATTGCCTCGAGAAAATTAACGCGGCTTTTTAATTTCCTTCTGGTTAGCTGTGTTTTCTTTTGGAGCAATGTTATATATAGACAAATCATTCGAAATTTTCATGGTATAAATTCACTCGATATATTTCTATTTTTAGTGTTAACATCAATATTTGTATTAAGTTTTGGCACCATTTTTTTGTACAATAATATTTTTTATAATTAATAGATATTTGTATTTAGTTTTTATTGTAAAAATACTTCGAGTTTTGATTTCGCTGTAAATATATTGAGGTAAAAGAGATATATTAATTATAATATGTAAATCATTCTATTCAATTTCAAAAGATAGATCTACTGGTCAACAACATGTGCTTTCTCATTTAACTTCTTGAGTTTGAACTTTAAGACTACCATTCAAAAATTATTTATTATCTTGAATGTATTATATCAATATAAAATAAGTATTATCGAAATTTCTTGAAAATAAAATTTACTTTGTTTTTTATTTTTTGTTACATATTAAAAAAAATCAGGATCTTTCAAATGATTTTCAATCCAACAAATAAAACAGTTAGAATCATTCAAAATTTGACAATCTGTCAAAAAAAAAAATACTACATTAGGAACAAGTCCAATTACAGTAATAAAAAGCGAAGACAAAATAAACTGAGGAAGGAAATCTGGAATGTCTAATAGCAGATGGGAGCTCCTGTTTTACTAAAACGAAAAGTGTTCTTCGTGATGCCTAGTGGCGACTTGTGAGTGAGTAGTTTAGGATGCCCAGGGAGTTAAGACTAAGTTAAGCAAGGAGACGCGCTTAGTGTAAATGGTGGGGTCCCATCTCCACGTTTGACGCACTACCGTTTCATGTCCTTCACAAATGCTCGATTTCTTTAACTAATGCATTTAGTCGTAACTTTTAATATTTCAACTAACAGAGATATATTTTTAAACTTTGCTTCTGACATAGATGTTCACTGTTCGCTAAAAATCAAATTTTGATATGATTTTTTAAAAAAACTTAAAAAAAATGAACCAATATATAATTGGTTTTCGATTTTGATTTTGTTTTTTAAAAAACCAATTAACTAGATAACCAAATTATTAAAAAATAACTTTTTTTTCATAAATGAGACGACGTGGTTTCACTCTTTTCTGAATTCATAAACCTAAAATCATAAGTTCCTCTTTGTCGGTTCATCTTCCTTGTTCCTAACGTTTAAAATTTTTTATTTTTTTATTTTTAATTTCTTCAAATAAAAAATCAAAATAAATTGTAAAAATATAGATACTAAATTTGTTTCTCAAAACTAAAAGGATTAATTTATCATTTATTTTATAAAACTTCAAGAGTTGAAAATATTCTTCAATAAATAAACTAAATTTAAACATTGACCATATAATATTTTACGTTGACCAATTTAATTGTAAAACATTTTATTAGAAACAAATATAAGAAACTAAAAAAAATCTTTATTTTTAATTATAGATAAAAATCAAATTATCGAATAAAAAAATCGATATATTTCGAAACCAAATCGAATAATAATTCGATTCGGTGATTTTTTTGAATAATTTAATTAACCGAAAATTAATAAAAAAATTTTAAAATCGAATTGAATTACCCAACAAACAGCCCTAGCTTTTGATGATTCGATAATAATGAAATGGAATAGACAAAAATACGGGCAGAGCTCACTGTTACGGATGTGTAGTATTTTGGGGATCTATCTCCGATTGCAAGCATGGAATAGACGTTTACTGATATTTGACACGTGTACTGCAATGCGTATTCGTATTGAAAAATAAATATTTGTTACTTAACCATTGCTCGTAGCTGTACGTTCCTCGCGTTGAACATCATCATCTGTTGGTTCATGTTTAAGAGATTGGATGTTGGGATGTTTACTTCAAGTGACAAGCAGGTATATACTTTTCTTTTCTTTTCTGTTTTTTTTTTTTTTGAATTATCATTTAAATCTAATAGAAGGTCATTGGAAAAAAAAATATCAATAGATGAATGGATAACTTATTCAATACCAATATCAATAAAGAGATTGATCTTAAGAACTTGAGATCATTAAAAGAGAAAAAGGGATAAATACAAGTTGAGTCACAACCTCATTAATTGTACTATAGCTGAATCAAAAAATATATATACACAAACAAACATCTAAGAGGTTATAAAATTATAAAAATCCATGCATCCAGTCTCTTAAAAAACAATTGATTCATGGCGTCTTTCTATTGTATACTTTCTCTTGTTTGTCTCCACTATTTAAACAAATATAAATCGTCTCTTTTATTGATCGACCTATATTGTTAAAACTATCTATTTCTTTATATTATGTCTGAAAATTCAATATTATTATATACAAATATCCAACACATTCAAGAAATAAAAAAATAATAAATAATAATTTTTTTTCAGTTAATAATTAGTTATTTTTACTCGCATTACATTACGGATCGGATAGAACATATAAAATTATTTTTAAAAAATTATTTTATTTTGATGTTTTATGTTATATTGTGCATATATTAAAATATATCAAATCAAAATTAAATAAAAATTTATTTAATTTTATAATTTTTTATTAAAATTTTGAATTTGATTGAGTATTCTTTATATTTTTCATAAAATTTTGAAACATTATTTACTTATCTCTATCCACAAATTAAAAAATTTACAGTAGTTTTAAAAATATTAAAATCAATGGATTATTAACTAAAACTTATTTTATAAATTTTTTTCTAAATATTTTTTTTCGCCTTAAAAATTTTAATTTAAAAAAATAGAGAGAAAAAAAAAGAAGAAAAGATCAAAGCGAACAAAATTAAATAAAAAATATTTATGGACTAAAAAATAATGTTTAAAAAATTAATTAAAGTTTAATGTCATGAAAACCTTCAAAATAAATATTTTTAAAATATTTAAAAAATATACAAATATTATTGCATGGTAAAAGAAATAGTATATTTGAGCTTGGTGAATAGTATAAACGAGTCTGGATGATTAGTATTTTAAATAATACTATACGTAGTTGACTTTTTTTTTAATAATTTAATAACAAGATAAAGAAAAAAATACGTGATTTGTTTACGTATAATCATAGATATTAAAATATTAATTAAACAACCTTCCCCACGGTATCGTGCTAGTCCCATTTGAAAATTGAGATCCCTGAAAATTTTCCAATTTGGAGGTGGCCCCAGTGGACATGTCGTCTTCCCTGCCGCTGAACTTCTTACATCCAACCATAACATCAACCCCCCAACTTATCGAACAGAATCAATAAGCTCAGCTGGACGTGGACAGAAGGATTTGAGATAAAAATAAACAGATTACAATTGGTTACCTTCAACACAAAAATCCATGAATGGTCCCTCAACCAATCCATGCCTTTCAAAAGGATTGATTTCTACAATAGTTTGGTGCCTTTGAAAAGGATTGACGTCCATAACAAGAATAATCAGGTTTCGGGATAACAAAATTAATACCATCACAATTACTCAAAAGTAGATAATTTGGACCACTCGTTTTCATTAACAAAAGAAAATTAAATAGATAAATGAGCAACCCTGTGATCTCACCCTGATAAAATCTGGAAGTTTCTTTTTTTAATATCCCAACCACTACTAAGCATTGCAAACAGGTATAGGGACCAGGCCACGTGCCACGTTCGTAAAAAATTAAGTGCAGTAGCCAAAAAATGGAGATGCCTGGTCACCAGCACTTTTGCATCAGTTTGTCCAATTAATTTCATTGCTATGTTCAATTTGAATACCGAATTTAGTAGTGGGTTGGTGCCCATGCTGATTGATAAGTACTAGTTACTTTGTCTTTGTAAAATTTTGATTCGAACTCCCGGGAATGTTCCTCTTAAACTCCCAAATAATGCTTTACTAGCAAAGCAGTGTTGAAGGCTACTTAATAATCCAGATTGTTTGTGGAGTAGGGCGTTGAAGGGTATCTATTTTTCCGTATAGAATTTCTTGAGTGCTAAAAGGGGATACAGTCCTTCTTGGTGCTGGCAAAGTCTTTTGGCTGACACAAGGTTTTTAGGTGGAATGTGAGTGATGGGATGTCTATATCGATATGGAACGATCCATGGGTTACTAGTCTCCCTAACTTCAGAATTCTCTCTAGCGAACCTCCAAATTTGCTGGTCAATATGGTGAGTGACCCAATTGATCAAAGGTCGGCGTAATGGAATTTGGCTCTCTTACGGCGGCTGTTCTCATCAGAAGAAGTTCTAGAAATCGGAAAAATTGCTGTTGGGCATGTTGATGTTGACGATATTCTGGTATGGCATTACGAGAAGCGCGGAGGCTTTAGTGTAAAATCTGGATATTCCTTGCAATCAGCTTAGAATTGCAACACTTTCCGGATGCAGCTAACTTCGAACACTGCCAATAGGTCAAATGAGAGCTGGGAAGGAGTTTTGTAAAAGTACTCTGGTCTCTTAAAGTCCCTCCAAAAGTGAGCAATTTCATATGGATAACCATCACCAACTCTCTTGCTACCCAAGTTGGTTTTTTTAAGAGAAATATTGCTCCTGATCCTTTATATGATGTTTGTGGTTTAAAGCCTGAATCTATGGAGCATATTCTCTTTTCCGGTCCAAATGAGGTGGGTTTCCATTCCCTGGGTGGGAGAAACTGCATCGAGTGTTTAAAGGGCAAGATGCAGATGTACAAGTTCACATTGCTTTTCTTTGCTGGCATATATGGAAGGCAAAAAATGATTTTATCTTCTGAGCCAGATGTCCGAATCCAATTACTACCACTTTTTGGGCATCAAAGGACTTCAGGGAGAACTATGAGTTTAAACTTCCATATATGAGAAATTTGCAGTCTTCAGGATCTGCTTCAGTTCAGTACATTGAGCACTATAATGGATTAGAAGACCTTCTGATGACTACATTATTGTATGGAGAAAGATAGTGACTTGAAAAAACAATGACACGGTGACGCAATTATGAAGAAAATGATGAATAACAATTGCTAGTAAAGAGATCCAAAGGAATCTGAATCTTTAAGTCATTTGGTTGTATATATAACCAAAAGATTTCTTCCAGTTGCATGGAATGAGAGTGTTGGACGATCAAGTTCCTCGTTACTAACAACTTCAGACACTTACTTAGAAGACAAATATACTTGATGTTAACATATCACAATTTGAAGAATTTGACTCCATCAAAATTGGCATTGGTTAAAAAGAATTATTTTTGGTTGTATACTGTCATTTAATAGATCGAGTTGATGAGATTGGTTCGGTCATCCAAACTTATTATTTAGCGTAAGGCTATTTGGTATGCTCATATGGGTGATTTAACAGGATCTGCTTTCTCTCCTATATCCTAGATAGAGTCCTATCTTCTCGAGCACTTATTTAGATGGAGTCTCTTGACCCACTAAAAATTATACGATGACACATATCATTCATGTATATCACCTCCAAACAATGGTCAAATTAAATTTAATTATGATGCATCTATGGTGAATTGTCAAGAGGTTGTCAAGATAGCTTTTGTGGCGAGGGATAGAAGGGTAAAAATAGATTTGGACAAAGTATGGACTTATAAGGTAGTTTTAGTAGTAATAGCTAAAGCTTTAACGTATAAAGAGGCAATCAAATAGGTTGATATTAGAGAAATACCAGATGAAGTTGTGAACCTCAATTTATGATGTGTGAGAATGTGGATTTTTCTTGATTGGTCTAGTTGGAGTTTAGTAATAGATAGAGGTCAAACTAGCTAGAACGCTTGCAAAATAGGTCATTCTTTGTGAGTTGAAAAACCATTCAATGACTAAGTCGATGTATGAAGGGAGATGGTAGCTTGATAAGGCAATGGTATAGTAAAAGATGATGAATGGTAGTTGTTAGTTAAAAGATTCAGAATTTGAAACTTTAAGCCATTTGATTGTTTATATAGCCAAAAACTTCATCAAGTTGCTTAGAATGAAGGGTTAAATGATTTATTCACTTGTTGCAATTATACTACGATTTTGATTAGAGAATGAATGTCTCCGATCTTGATGGATTACTATTGAAATGATATATGTCATAACCCAAAATTTGGGTTATTTTTATTTTATTTTTTATATTTATTTTATTTTGCTCTCATTTTTATTTTGATCTATTTTTACCTTTATTAGTTTTATGTTTAATTTTATGAATTATCTTTTATTTTGATCTATTTGGTATGCTCATATGGGTGATTTAACGAGATTTGCTTTCTCTCCTATATCCTAGGTAGAGTCTTATCTTCTCGAGCACTTATTTAGATGGAGTCTCTTGACCTCACTAAAAATTATATGATGACACATATCATTAATGTATATCACCTTCAAACAATGGTCAAATTAAATTTAATTATGATGCGTTTATAGTGGATGGTCGAAAGGTTGTCAAGATAGCATTTGTGGCGAGGGATAAAAGGGAAAAAATAGATTTGGACAAAGTATGAACTTATAAGGTAGTTTTAGTAGTAAAAGCTAAAGCTTTAGCGTATAAAAAGGCAATCAAATAGGTTCGTTATTAGAGAAATACTAGATGAAGTTGTGAACCTCGGTTTATGATGTGTCATGATATGGATTTTTCTTGATCGGTCTAGTTGGAGTTTAGTAATTGATGGAGGTCAAACTAGTTGGAACACTTGCAAAATAGGTCATTCTTTGTGAGTTGAAAAACCATTCAATGACTAAGTTGATGTATGAAGGGAGATGGTAGCTTGATAAGGCAATGGTATAGTAAAAGATGATGAATGGTAGTTGTTAGTTAAAAGATTCAGAATTTGGAACTTTAAGCCCTTTGATTGTTTATCATAGCCAAAAACTTCATCAAGTTGCTATGGAATGAAGGGTTAAATGATTTATTCTCTTGTTGCAATTATACTCGATTTTGATTAGAGAATGAATGTCTCCGATCTTGATGGATTACTATTGAAATGATATATGTCATAACCCAAAATTTGGGTTATATTTATTTTATGTTATTTTTAATATTTTTATTTTATTTTTATTTTATTTTATTTTGTTCTCATTTTTATTTTGATATATTTTTACCTTTATTAGCTTTATGTTTAATTTTATGAATCATTTTTATTTAAAAAAGAGAGAAAATAAAAAAAATTACATAATAAAAAAGATAAAAGATTGAAAAGATGATTTGATATCTAATCGATAATGGTGTGAAAAATGAGGATCGAGTGACATTCAATTAGAGATGTAATCGAAAAGGGATAAAAAATTAAAGAACTTGATTGAGAATTAATTAGAGGAAAATTAAAAGAAATCAAGAGAATTAAGGATTAAACAATTTAAATTAAGGAGCTAATTGAGAGAAAAATAATGAAACATACATTTAAATTTGAAAAAAATGAGGAAGAATCGAAATTGGTTCTATCCTAAATCCTAAAAAATTCGTATATAAGCATCTTTTCACTTTATTTTTTGAGGGAGCCATCATTATTCCCCTTACTCCAAAAATCCCGACTTACATCACTCATCTTTCTACCCAAAAACCCTAGCCTCCATTAGCCATATTCCTACAAAAAAAATAAATAAACTTAGCATCCATTATTCACTTATCACAAAACAATTTAACCATAACAACTCATCACCTCTACTAATAAAAAAACCTAGCCACCGCAGGCTCGTACCACTTCTCATAAATGGGCATTCACAATCCAACCCTAAGCTAGCAAAAAAGATGTTGTCTACCTAAAAGAAAAAGAAAAGAACTAAACAACCCCTAAGACCAAACCCATAACCCACGGATCCATCGCAAGCTCGCGCCACTTCTCCCTCACAATCATCACTCTCCGACAACAATCACCTCTAATAACCACCACCATCTTATAGTCCAACCTCAGACCCATCTTCTCCAACTAATTTCCATGGTTGAAAATGATGGAGGAGGTCGGGATTTGAAACGAAATCCACTCCATTTGACCTGTGACCATACTTGGTTTTATCACCATTTTCTATCTAAATCAAAGGCAGCCTTTCTCTAGCCTCCAACAGCCTCCTTATGCTTGAAATTGTGGAAGAAGATGTTAGAAATTGACAAATTTAGCTAGAGAAGATGAATTTGACATGTAACCTATACTTATAATTTTATAATTTCTTTAATAGTAGATAACGAATTTAAAACGTGGTTTAACTCATATTTTCAATAAATAAATACAATGAACAATTTCAATTCAAATATATATATATATTTTTTGAAGTACTCTGAAGTCTCAAGTTCGGGCAGCGGCAATATAATAATAATGTTGAGGTTATTTTCAATTAGACAAAAATAACTTTAAGGACGTCTTTTCACTT